CACACACACACACACACACACACACACACACACACACACACACACACCATGAATGTAATTTTTAAAATGTAAAAGGTAATTTTGTCAGGAGTAGTGGAGTAGTAAATGAGGTATGGGGTGACAGCCTTTAACCCAATCTTCCTAGGCCCTGGATACTCCGAGAATTAACAGGAAAGAAGCATATGCATTATGTAAAGCAAGCTTTACACATTTGCATTAAGTAATACAAGCTTTACTTAGCAGAGAAGCTGCCACCCCATCCCCAGTAAGGAAGAGAAACTTCTTGAGAAAGTGTTTAGATTAAATTGCTTACATCAGAACCAGATAGGGAATGGTTCAAATAGAGCAACTGAATTTTCTGGGGAGATCTGAAGAAAGTTGTTTTAGTGAGGTTTCTCAGACCAGCCTTCATCTTGACTTCACATCAAAATTTCAACTTCTGCATTTAGGGAACATCATGGATTGAATGATCTTTCTGTTCCCCCTGATGTTTTCAAATACCTTTAACATAGTCCCTGGAGTGGAATAGTCTATATAATCCCTTCACAGGAATAACACCAGTAGGTCCTGATGTTATTGTTGATTAGGAATCCATAACTATCTGGCTGGAAATCAAGAGGAAGGACCTATTTATTTTTCACTCCTAAGGATCTGGAAAGATTTGGAGAGAGAGAGACCATGTCTTCAGCTTCAAAGAGCCCCCATAGATCAGAGCCAATGCCGGAGATCATGGTGAAAATCATTGGAAGTAAATATTTTCGATATCTTGTGGAAAAGCCAAAGATGTAAGTTTCCTCTCTGAAAAATGACTGTGTTTCTTGGATAATAATGAAATTGCTTTTTTTTTACTTAGAAATTTTAAAACTGCCATCTGTGCAAAATTAAGTCATTAAGATGTAAAAGTAGAAATAAAACAATGTTGATAACTCCATGAGCAATTTTTCTGATATTTTCATCTTTATAATTCCCCAATTCTCTTTAATTACTTGGGCTGATTTTCCAAATAGATGGGAAATTTGAGCGTTATGACACTTATAAATATTAATGGAATATTGCTGCTTCTCCTAGTCAAGTTTGTAATCTACTACATGCAGTAATTTTGTGTTGGGAGGGAGAAAGGAAGGCAGACTATTAGTCAATTTGTTGTGAATTACAGGAGTGGGATTAATAATGAATCACAACCTGTAAGGTTTTCACTTACTCTTCTTGCATTTGTTCCTTCTCTAAACAAACTTTTCAGAGCATTGCCGACAGGCCTTTCTTCCCTTCCCTTACTGATCGCTCATTTGAGGAGGGACATTCAAACATCTCCAAAGTTAACTAGGTATTTGGCACAGAACAGCATAGCAACCTCTTTCTTCTTGAGTTTTAGTGGTTTGCAAAAGAAAAGAATGCCAATTATACCTATTTTCTTTAGGCAAGTCAGTAGCTAGTAGCCTTTCCCTCCAAAGATGATTTCTTTAGTTCTTTTCACTATTGAATTATTGAATATAGCTACATGAATAATATGCATTAAACTCAAAAGATAATCACCAAAAGCATACTTAAAACTGAACAGCTAAAGTCCAACTCAAGAGAGACTGAGTCAGAATCTTCGAATGCAGATCACAGGACCTGTGTTGCCAAAATGAATTAGCAACATCAAATGCTTTTTTCTCCAGTAGCATTGTCACACCATAGCAATTCCAACATGAATGCTGTCAGGAATAAGGACTAGGATGTGAGCATGTCAAAATGGAGTCCATGATTTTGAGATCTCTGTGGAGCAGAAAGACAGAAGTTTAATCCTATTTCCATTCCTTCCTGGTCTATTGACATTGCAAAAGCATGGTGCAAAGTCTTGCATTCTATACTATACCTATAAATCAGGAATTTAATGACACTTGTCTAGTAGGTCATTGAGGGTATTAAGAAAAGTATATGCACATTTTGCGGGGTCCAGGATACCTTGTATACCTAATAAATGGTTCTGCTGTTGTTATTGAAGCGTATCTTTCCAAGGATGCAAAATGTTTAATGGAAACCAAATACCTTTCTTTGAAATTCTTGCCATTGCTTTTATATTCAATGGCCAAGAAGTAGGTCATTTTCTGTTTAATAGATAAAAAAAATTGTGGTGAGATAAATGACCATTTTAATAACTTTTACCAATTCCCTTCTACTGTGAGAAAATCAGAGAGAATTAGGCACTGAGCACAGGTCCACCAGGAAGACAACATCACTGCACTTCTAGTTCCTCTTCTTCCTAAGGTTGATTAACTTCATTTTATCCAAAGACTCTTCTTTTGAAGGTGTCAAGTATAACTTGTTTCTAAAAGGAAAATGGGGAGGAACCCTTGGTTAACTTAAATAATAAAGGAGTAAAGGGTACGTTAAGTAAATTCTGAAGTAGAAACCATAGTTCCTGTCCCTGAAACATTACAAAAGTGGTATTGCTTTATATTGAGGTAGGTTTTCTGTGAACTTAATTCTGTTGTTGCTGAACTGCCCCAAGATAATTAACATGCTTTGCTGGAATAATCCTCTGCAATTCAAAGATAAACAGTTGTCAAAATCCTGCTTGTTGCTGAACTAAAGGAGATCAAGAGCCATTATGTCCCCCAAGTCCCAAAATGTCTTAACCCAAGGTCACAGAACCTGAAAAGGGTGTAACTTTCAGTTGAACTAATTAGTCAAAATCTGCATAAGAAACTTAACAGAAACAGGACGTGTCATCAAAAAGAAAATCTGAATTTAAAAATAAATCACAAAAGAATAATGAAAAGAAGTAGAAGCACATTTAGCTGAGATTTCCTATAGGACACTTTTGAGAATGAGATATGAAGTCAAACTTGAAGACCAAGTCAAAGTGCAAGGAATCGCGGAATTTATTTTTTTCACAGTAGTGGATGCTGATGGTCTAACTCTTAGGTAAGCATCCAGCTGAGATCCCTCTGGAGGGGCCAGAAAAGACTTTTCAGTGTCCTGTGTGCACTCTTGCTTATCATCCGGCATTCAGTACTACGTAGCTTTTCCATATCTGCACCTTTAATTCCTCATTTACAAGGATGCCAATCAGCTGGGTTATGGGCCCACTACACACACACACACACACACACACACACACACACACACACATACACACTCATTAGACACTCATTAGATCAGCAATAAACTGATTTTCAAATGAAGCCATATTCGGAGGTAAAAGACTTGATACTTAAACATAGTAATCTCAGTGGCAACACAATTCGTCCATATCAACCAGCCATCATCTCTGCCACAAGTAAAATAACTGAGGGCACTGAGAGCAGCTAGTATAATTAAGATTGCAATGAAGTCCCCACTCCTCTTTCCTATAAATTCAAACTGTTCCGATGTTATTAGGTACAAAATACTCAAGACCTACTTAATATAATTACTTTTCACAAAGAAGATCAAACTAAGACCTTTGAGAATGAAGCACATTTCCTGTGGTTTGTATTATCATCATTTTCTTTTGAGACTCCATCCAAACCTTCAGAGTCAATGCTTTGCCTCTGACCTTTCTTGTCCCCTGGTGGACTGTATGAAGCCTTGCTCTCAAGGTGTCCTGCATGGGCTACTGAACCCATCTCACTTGGAAACTTGAACAGATCCCAAGCTCCCTCTGCAGGTATACTAAGTAAGAATTGAATTTTAGATGGATTCTCAAGTGACTCCTACACATTCTGGTGTGAGACTCCCCATCTTACACTGTGGTCATCAGGGTCTTTCTAAAATTTAAACCCACTGCACCTGGTAGCACCCACAAAACCCCCAAGGATCTGATTGTGTTGAAACTTCCTGTATTTCTGTCTGTCCCATTTAACTATGAAGTCCTATGTGTAAAACTGTATCCTTATCAGAAACTATGTGTAAAACTGTATCCTTATCAGAAAATAGAAAGTCCTGTACATGTTGAAAGCTGAGTAAATGAATTAGAGCAATGCAGTTACCAAGGAAGGTAAAGATTTGAACGACAATGTTTAGTAACTTTAAAGGATTGCAGGTCTGAGATCCCAAGCTTTCAAATAGCATGCAGATGTTCCTCGGGATTCCTGAATAGTCTTTGATAGCCCATTGAAAGGAAAATATGCCTTTATCTAATTTCAAAAAAAACAGTAGAAAAGAATGGGGAATGAAATTCAGAGGCTTGTGAACAACCCCTGGACAAATTAAGGCCAAACAGCCAAATATATATCATTATGAGAACAAAACATAAAGTGATGATCTCCAAGGGTCAGCACATGCTGACAAAAAGCAGATTCAGTTGTGCTGTTCATCCCCTTACTGATGAGATTGTGCAGCCCACACGAAGGGGATGAAACAACGTGCTATTGTCAGTTCTGATGGATCATCTTTCTCACAATGACCTGACACAAGGCATATTACTGAGGCAAGTGATATCCTGCTATTCATATGCTGTTGGTAACAGCACAATCCCACAAACCAGACAAATCAGAGAAAAGCAGGCTAGTTTGGGCCCACTGTTCTGGAGGTCCTGGGATGAGGATTGTGTCTGATGATGGCCTTCCTCTTGTCAGAGTCTTAAAATGGTGCAGACAGGCGAGGCAGTAAAATAAGAGTGTGTGCATGTTCATCTCATCTGTTTTCTCTCATTCTTTTTACATCCCAGGATTCTATCACAGGGTTCTGGTCTAGATTTTTATTTAGTCTAAATCATCTCATAGAGTTCCCACTCTAAAAATAATGGCTTGGTTAAATTTTCTCCCTCTTAGTATCTCACATGGGGATTAAATTCCATCATGAGTTTTGGAAGGCACAGACCATATTAAAACTACAGTGCACATCAAAATCGCTGCTCTTAGGTGACGGAATGATTAACAACTCCACCTCCTGAAGTGGGGAGGTTTTGTGTGTGACAGTTTCTAACATACAATCAAGGAAAACACACAGGTACTCATTGGAGTAAAGAGGCAAGTGGCAAATTCCTGAGGGGCCTTGCCAGGAAAATATGCTAACGACCTAATCAACATGGTGCATGCAAAATCTACCCTTGGTGAGAGTTCACAGTCATGATTAGAAGGGCTAAACGCTTAGGTGTTAGCCTGTGTTTGTGGTGAGCATGCACTAAGGCACTCAGTGGAGGATTGTGTTAGATTCTAGATACAAGGAACCCCATCATGGTAAAGATGAAGGCCGCAGAGAGTGTTAAAAAAAAAAGGCCTTTATGACAGAACTATAGTAAGTAAAATATGGCTGGAGTAGAACATTAAAGGAAAATGGGTATTGAATTGAAGAATAAAGTCAAATGTGCAAATTCTGAGAAACCTCTTTCAGTAAATAAAGTTGACCTCTATAATTTCTTCCAGTGCCAAAGGCTAGTGACAAATCCCTTTGGTCTGTAGCTAGGGTTACCAGCAGAGCAGTGTTAGATTCCAGAAAAGCTGCCTGTAAAGTTTTAATGGGAAGGAGGGTAAACACTTGTAACCGTTTACCTCAGTATTATAGGTTCATGTTTTCTCTGGTGTTTTCTCACAGGCGTCTCTTAGAGCACATAATTGTCACGTTTAATCCTCTGAAGTCATTCACAATAATAAATTTTGCATGACTTTTCTCAAACTTGTTGGAGTGCCAACAGATTTAGCAATCAATGTGCTGCGTGAGATACTACCATCATCCTTTCCAGCGCTCTGAGTGAGCACCAACCGATGACTGCACCTTGGGGATTTAGTGGGACACATAAAGCGCTGGTGGCGAGAGACACAAAGCAAGCAGTGACTACTCAGATGAGAACAGTACAATCAGAAAAAGAGAAAAGGAC